CGGGTTTGAAATGAATAAAACTATTGAAAAAAAAAGACCGTACCCTTTTATGTAATGATGTTTACTTTGAATTTATATTAGTTCACACAAACACTCCATCCATGCTTTTGTTCCGGCCCTCCGGTCCAGTTTAAGAACCCATTGTGGCCCTCGAGTCAAAAAGTTTGCCCACCCCTGTGCCTCTACTAACCCCCCTGGCCTCCTCGCCTACAGCTCAGTCACCTCTTCCAAAAAACCTTCTCTGGTGCCCTTTCTGAGTCTCCCAGAGCACCCTTGCCATATTTCTATCATGAAACTTGCCACACTGTAATGTAAATATTGATTTAATTGTCTGTGTTCCTCAAAAGGCCATGAACTTCTTCGGGCACTGTGTCTCATCCATCTTTACATTACCACTATCTAGCAAAGTGCTTGGCCTAGAGTAGAAAGTCAGTCAATGGGTATTGAATGAATGATTGAGCGAGTTGATAAATTAATGAATATTAAGCAGGGAAGATCCAAATATAAAGCCCTACCACTTTTTATAACAGTGGTGCTTACAGTGGGGTCCCTGGACCAACAGCAGTGTTATCTGGGAACTTAGAAATGTAAATTATTGGCCCTGCCCCAGAATCAGGAATTCTGGGGGGCAGGGCCTAGCCATCTGTATTTTAACAACATTTCCAGGTGATTCAGATGCACATAAATTAAGAGTATGGTTATACAACAGATTAAAATTGGCAATAAACATGCAGAAATAAACAACAAAATATAGTTATTAATACTAATCCCTTAAATTTAGTGGTACTTAATAGATTATAAAATGCTTTCCTATCTACTATCTCTGAAATTACAGATGAAATGGAGAGAGAAAATGATTAAGGAGTTCAGACCTGTTTTAGATACACTCTATTTAGTAGCTCACTGAGTTCCAAAGAACTAACTCTTTCAGCTGACACATCTGGAAAATAAGAGTCTTGTGTCTCTATAGCAGTGATGGTGAACCTTTTGAGCTCCATGTGTCAGCATTTTGAAAAACCCTAACTTAACTCTGGTGCCGTGTCACATGTAGAAATTTTTTGATATTTGCAACCATAGTAAAACAAAGACTTATATTTTTGATATTTATTTTATATATTTAAATGCCATTTAATAAAGAAAAATCAACCAAAAAAATGAGTTTGCGTGTCACCTCTGACACGCGTGTCATAGGTTTGCCATCACTGCTCTATAGGAATGTTTTCTTGACCAGGCTTGGGTAGCAGTGGCCTCTGTGGTTAGCAGACCTTGCCATGAAATCTCTTTGGTTGAATGAAGATTCCAGGTAAGCAAGGTTGAATGTGAATGAATGCTAATTGGAGTTGTAGGAAAGCTAAAGCTATGGGGAACAAGGCATACTCAGGCTTTAAGTATTTTTAATACTTTGTGCAGGCATGACGTCTCTGTAAGTGAAAGCTGCAGCTTGCAAAACTATATGATCCCATTCTCATTTAAAAAACATATTTTCACTCTCAGTAAAATTTTGTGAAAGGCACTAAAATATAATGGTGATTTTCTTTGGTTAGTAGGATCACACCTTACTTTTTTTTTTTTTTGCAAAGAACAATTTTTATAATGACAAAAAGATAAAAAAGATATAAAAATTGGTTCTGTGTACCTGGGGAGACCTACATGCAGAGCCAACAGCTGGCATAGCTGGAGGAGGGATTTGAAAGGGACGATTGGGATCTTAGAGGCTGGAAGGAGCTGGAAAGAATTCAGGACAATCGCTAACAAGGGGCCTCCTAAAACACTGAAATAAGAAGAGGAGATGTCCTGCTAGTTTTCTGCTAACTTGAAGGCAACTTCAAGCAAAAGAGAAGGAAAGCCCTGGGACATGGAAAGAACAGGGCTCCCCCTCATCCCTCCCCCAGGACTGTGAAAGGTCAGAGGGCTCACTTGGAAGGTGAAAGGGAGGGAAAATTATCCAGAACATTTAATGGCTCCAGGGCTCACAACTGAAGGACGTCTAAACTGGAAAGGAGGGATAAAAGAAGTGAACAACTGGTGCCTGAAGCAAATTTAAACTTGCACCAAGCTAATTGCCTAAAACAAGAATTATGTGCCTGAAACGTCTGTGTTCTGAATATAGTTTTGTACCCTAAGATTTTTTTCACGCTAGGGTAAAAATTGTCTGAGTTCTTGAAAATGATTGTCCAAGCAATAGTTACTTTGGAGTGGAGGTTGATACAGAATTAAAGCAAAAGTTCTGAATCTCAAGGGCATACTCTCTGGAGAGGTTACCCTCCCCCTATTTTTGAGCCTTGTGAGTGGAAAGTTATTATTTGAGCAGTTTACATTTATTAAGCAGATAGTGTTTGGAAGGCTAAGCGCTTATTCTTCACAGAGGCCCTATAAGCTAGATACAGCTATTATACTCAACTTTACAAATCAGAGAATGGAGATCTAGCTGGCAAAGGGCAATGTTAGGATTATCTGCCTCTGAAGCCCAAATTCTTCTATAACACTACCCTGCATTTGTTCGTCTTGAAAATGTCCTAAAGCAAGTAACAATAGCTCTAAAATACTAAAATTAATAATGCCTAGGGTGAGGTTATAAAGAAACCGTCATACTCTGTTTTTAGAGATGTAAATTAGTTTGACCTTGCTGAAGGACAATTTGGCAGTATTTACCAGAAGAATTTGGAATGCAAGTACAGTGGGGCTTTGACTTACGAGTGTCCCAACTAACGAGTTTTTTGAGATACCAGCTGTCTCTCAGCTGATTTTTTGCATTGAGTTGATAGAGTAATTTGAGTTAATGAGCTCCTTAATGAGTTCCTTAACGAGCTCGGTCTCAGAACAAATGAAACTCGTAAGTCAAGGCCCCACTGTATCAGTTTTTTCAGTTATAGCAGTAACGGAAATTCACCTGAAGTATTAGCTGGAAAGATATAGGTGTGTGGAAGATATTCAGTAAAAAGAACTAGGAGCAACCAGTATCCTTAATAGGGAACTGGTTAACTAAATCATGGTTCTGCCATTAACAATACATGAGGTAAATCTATATGTTCTGAAATGGAAAAATCACCAAGATACAGTAAGTGTTTAAAAAGCATGGTACAGAATGCTGTATATAGTGAGATTACTTTTGTAGTAATTTAAAAACTACATATAGAAATTGGTTTGATAGATATACTAGCATATAAATAATGTTTACTCCCTGAAAGGAAATACAAGAAGCTTTTTAACAATAAATACCCTTGGAAAGATTAACTGATTTATTATTTTTGTGTCATTTGGAGATATTTGGGTTTTTTAAAAAAATTATCAGCCCAGGACATGCTTAGAGAGAGGAAAGGAAGAAAGGGAAAGAGAGGGAGGGAGGGAGGGAGGGAGGGAGGGAGAAGGGGGGGAGGGAAGGAGAGAGGGGGGGGAGAGAGAGAGAGAGAGAAAGAGAGAGAGTTATCAGTATCTTGTTTTTCAGCCTTACAATATATATCTTGGCCATTTTTTCATATTGGCACTTCTCTTGTTTAATAGCTGCATGGTATCCCAATTTGTGAATGTACACACACACACACACACACACATCACTTTTGATCATCTATTGGAGGACATTTAAATGACTTCCAGTTGTTTGCTTTCCTAGATGCTGCTGTAATGAATCCCCCTCGTAAGAAAGTTTAGAGCAGTGGTTCTCAACCTTGGCTGCACATTAGAATCACCTGGGAATCTTTTTAAAATCCTGATTTCTGGGCCTCATCCTCCGGAAATTCTGTGTCTTTGTCACTAATGTTGTGGCCTCAAGCCATAACAAAAAAAAAAAAACAAACAAACAAACAAACAAAAAAAAAAACAGAATTTCCGGAGGATGAGGCCCAGAAATCAGGATTTTAAAAAGATTCCCAGGTGATTCTAATGTGCAGCCAAGGTTGAGAACCACTGGTTTAGAAGGATCTTCAGACTGAGCATGACATTTATCAACCCTGTAGTTGCTGAGAGCAACCCAGTGGGACTCTGTCCTGAGGGGAGGAGTATGTTTTACTGCGTGGAGAAACAAAGAACTCTCTCCAAAACACTTTGACCAACACATTCAGAGCTATTAGAGTTGCCAACAGGTGGGATGACCTCAAAAAGAAGAGCAGCGTGTTCTGGCAGTTTAGTGACAGTGCAGAAAGTTGCCAGACCGCTCAACGCTGATTGCTAGATCAGAAGAGGAATTTCTAGACTCGGTTACAAGCAGGGCTGGTGCAGCACTGTGGATTCCACCAGACAGTCTGGAGACAGCTAGACAAGGAGATGGGCAGCAGAGCTCCAAATCAGGCAACAGCACATGTGGAAGGAGCAGTGACCTATGGGGAAACCCGTAACTCATAGACCAAACCTCTTCCAGCAGAGGGCAGTGTCTCAGATATCAGGCGAGAACCGGACCATCTGGAGCCAGAGCTGAGGACTTCACTGGACTGATTGCACCAGCCCTAGGCCGAAGAGAACTTGAACTAAACTGTCCTTTGGATACTGTAAGTGACTTTGGGGAATACTCAGGGAGAGACACAGTAGGACTTCTTTACACTACTGTGATTTGCCTGTTTTCTATTATCTAACAATTTGAGTTTGGTAATATTTTTATACATTTTGGCCGTTAGAGCTTGCAGGCAAGGAGTTTGAAGTCAATTTAACTGGTCTGGCAATTGAGTCTCACAGGTTTCTGGGTGCGTGCCTGAATCAAAGAGGGAGTGACATTCCTAAAATATAACCTAGCTTTCTGGGCCTGTGGATCTGACACAAAGTTTACAAATAGAAAGTTGGCAGAGGGAAAGATATGTAAGAAGTACCAATTTTATCTAAAAATAGAAAGTTAGTGTTTAACACCAGAGTCCTTCCCTTTGGAATTTCAATGACTATGAAGGATGGCCGTTAAAAACTTTGAGGAAAAGCCAGCTTATAAATTGCTGTGCATGCAGATAATGAAAGAATAAAAGAGGTTAATCTGCTGGAATAAACAATTTCCAATCAAATCTTCCCTGAATATTGTTTACCTTTCCTGCTGGGTAGCTTTGTTGGAATCAAAGGGAGGCAAAGCTGAGTTGGAGCACCTGTGAAGTCTATTTGCAATCCTTTTGTTTTCTGAACCTGGTGACAAGAAAGAGTGACTTTTGGCATTAGCTGGTAGAGTCAAGGCAAATTTGTCAGAGGATAAAAGTACTGTGTATTTAATTATTTGTCAGGCACAGCTAAGTAAAACACAAAACATAGGAAATCAGAGCAATAGTGAAGTCTGGGGGTAATTTGCATGCATTTCTTAGAAAAAACTATCATTTGAAAAAAATACCAGCAAAGAGAATAAACTTTCTTGGCCGTTTTATGTTCCTCGCGACTTCTAGTCCAGGGATGTTTGGCGTTCTCCGGTCGTTAGATAATTATTGGCCGTCCTGCACAAGCCAACGAGCTCATCAAGTACTCAGGCGGAGCTGAGGGCAGCTGAGACAAGGAGGGGCTTCAATGGCTTTGGGGTGGGACTGTCAGCAGCAGCAGAATCAGCAGCAGCTGCGGGCTGGCGCGGAAAGGAAGGGCGCTGGAGGTCCTCCGAGAGGCCCTTTGCCAAGGCCACAGCCCCGACCAGAAACAGTCCCCAGCCGTCTAGCTCAGCAGGGCGCGGCCCGAGCGCAAGGGCCTCGCTCCGAAGAGGTGGGACTTTCCCCACCGGAAGTGATCCGGTCCAGTCTCGGGGAACTGGGGCACCTCAAGCTAGTGTGTCAGGGAAACCCTTCCGGGTGTGTGCTGGGGGTGGGGGGTGGGGGGTGGGTGAGGAAAAAAAAGAGGTGGGTTTGCCTGGAGTCTCTGCGGGCCGCCGCCTCCAGGACGGCACCCGCCCCTCTCCCCTCTGCGAATAGCAGCGCTGGGGCGGCGGTGAGACTGAGGAGCCGGCCCGTAGCCATGGCCTTGGCTTGACTGAGCCTCCCGGGCGGCCGGGCGGGTGCAGACAGTAGGGTAAGCGGCGAAGGCTGCGTTGGCGGAGACAGCCGGTCGGGGGTGGGGGGTGTTGGGGGAGGCTGTTGGTTTGGGGCGGGGGGAGAGAGGGGTCAGGCGGGTAACGTGGGCCCCTTTCTCCCATCCCAGGCTGGACAACGCCCGCGGGAGCCGCGGCCCTGAGACCCGCCCGGCGGCAGTGGAGGGAGCGGAGCCCACAGGCCTGGGCCAGCTTAGCAGCGAGAGCAGGAAGCGGGGTCCCTGGGCCCCTTTGTGTGAAGGGCGGGGGAGAGGTGGGGGCAGCCCCTGGCTGCGGGCTCCTCCGTCACTCGCCTGCCCGCCAGGGCCCCAGATCTGTGGCTTCCAGCCCTCGCCTCGAGGGGCGCGTTTCTTCTCCCCAACCTCGCCGGGCTTCTCCTGGAGCGCCCTCCTCCCCACGCCCCCTGCCTGGGCTTTAGTTCCTATAGGAGGGGCATTTACCATCTCATCCCCACCCACCCCGACACTTCGCTCTCTCCCCTCCCCCCGCCTTTAACTTCCTCTTCTTTCCCCGTTGGGCCCTCCGCTTCTCTGCACTCTCCTCCCCAGTTCGCAGATTTCCGCCCACCTTCCGCCTCCCCAGCCGCACCGCAGCTAGCGGGGCGTTATTTTTCCTCCCTCGTGCAGGAGTGGGTGAAGGGGAGACTCATGAGGGAATACAAGGTGGTGGTGTTAGGGAGTGGAGGGGTTGGCAAATCTGCCCTGACTGTGCAGTTTGTCACTGGGACTTTCATTGAGAAATATGACCCCACCATTGAAGATTTCTACCGCAAAGAGATCGAAGTGGACTCTTCCCCGTCCGTGCTGGAAATTCTGGACACCGCAGGAACTGAGCAGTTTGCCTCCATGAGAGATCTCTACATCAAAAACGGTCAAGGTTTCATCCTGGTTTATAGTCTCGTCAATCAACAGTCTTTTCAGGTAACCAAACCAAGTCTTGTAATTTGTTAAAAGGGGGTGTGGTAATCCTACTTTTACTTCTGGTTTGCTTGAGCCGTGCGTTAATGACTATGTTTTGCTTTTGAAAGTTAGACATGGCGCATTTTTGAGGTTACCCCTGGCATGAAAAAGTATTGGGTTGTTTCTATAGAGAGTAGTAAAATAACAACTGTCAAAAAATATTTTAAACTTTTTTTTAAGCCAAAGAAAAGTGAAAAAGAAATAGGTTATGCCGCGTATATTTAGTTTGGAATATAACTTTCTGAAGTTGCTTGTTCAATTCAACAAGTATTGATTAATATACTCATCAAAACATTGACAAATAATCTCGGGTAAATACAACATTATGGAAGGAAAATTATTTGGAGCCTAATATCTGTTGCATATATAATTGCTTTGTGGTTGCTTTCCCCCACCCCTTCTCTGTGCTCACCCAAGTTTCTCAACCAGATTCATAAATCTTAGTGCTGCAAGACGAACTTGAGAACTGCCTTCTAGGCATTTTACTTGGGGCATGTGAGGAAAAGTTACTAATTAAAAATGTAGAATGCCCCTCCTTTTCTCCAGTTATCCAAATTGTTTCTGATAACACTATCAAAAGTACGGGGATCTGGGAACACTGAACAAATGCAGATTTATAATCCTGGCTGAGTGGCCAAACTGGAGATGGTCCAGTTTCCTCGGAAAATCTGTCCTGTCCTCCATTAAGAGACAGGCTGAAGGTTTAACATTATTTTAAGAGATGCAATAAATGTTGCTATTTATTCCTTGAAAATACCTCATATTGACCCATTATATTGACCTCCATTGATTTAGGAAATGGATATTTTTCTACATTTAAAGGTATTCAGTTAATGCTGCTTACTTAAGAGACATTAAGTACATTAAGTCAAGGCAATGTGCTAATTCCACTTTTCTTAGTATTTTAAAGTACTATAGTGAACTTTTTCAGTAACCAGATATAGCACTGCAGGATTTTTTTCTTTTAAAGGTAATAATTCCAGACGAATGAATAAAAGTTATATTGACCAAACTCAAGTCCATCTTATGTAGGCTTAAATTCCAAAGCAAGAATATCATAACAGCGTTTTCCCCCAAAAAGTAGTAAAGGTGCTATTTGGCAGGCATTTTCTTTCTGAAGGATCTTGGGAAATTTGTTATTCTATTAGCTGACTCTCTTGAGGTTGGAAGTTTTTTGAAGGGTTTTTCATAGGATTTCAATTATATCTACTTCTGTTATAGCCATAAATACGGAGTGAAAATTCTGCAATTATTTCAACAGAGCCTTAAACTCTTTTAAACTTAAATGCCATAAGTTTGGATTCTCAGCTGAACTTGGGTTTCCATGAAGAGGCAGGGAAAAAGAAACTTAACCATTGAATTGATACATGATCATATAAAATTGTTGCAAATATCACATAACTATGTTTTTTGTTAATTTTCACAGCCCCCTCTTTTTTCTTCATCCTACCTGTGAATATTCTGTTTACTGTAACTAAATTAATCACATATTTATATTTAAGTTAAAACTTTTAAGTTATGAAAAATCAAAAAAGTATAATGTTAGTATAAAATCTATGATACTGTCTTTAATCAATACCTCCTCCCCCCAAGTTGATGCTACTGGAGAATTGCTAAGGCTCTTATCTTTCGTGATTAGTTGTAACTACTTACAAAAAACAATACACTTGGGGTAAAATTCAAGTTGTAAACCCGAATGTAGGTAAAGAAAAGTATGACTTTTTCCCACCCAGATTTTCACCTGCCTGTCCATCCCAGGAGCTGCTCATTGTTACAATAGTTTCCACTATATTTAACATATTTTGAGGTATTTAATTTTACTGAGATAAAAATATACCATTAAATTTAAAATGAAACATATAAGTGCAGGAATCTATTTTTAACTTTGTTCTAGGCCTGACACAGTGTTTTTGTTTCCACCTTAAACACTTTTCTCTCAAGTGCTCTTACTAAATGGCTAGGAATGCATAGATGCTACAATCCTGTGCTAGGATATCAAGTGTTAGGAGGAGTGATGACAGGTTCGCAGGTTTAAGGAGATGGGCAAACACCTTTATATATGAATGGATTCATCATATTTGGGAACTTACTCTTTAAATCAGTATAGACTGTGGGAAAGAAGTGATTAAATGAATCCTAAAGTTAGTGTGCAACCTACATTTTATATTCTTGACAGAAATCCAGCAGGTAGAGTCTGTGGAAATAATCTAGTGCCAACTTTAATGGAGAAAATGGCATTTTCTCTATTTGGGTGTGTGGTTTTATTTTGGATTCAGCTTTACTCACCGAGGTGTGAGCTCTTATGAGATTGTAATACTTCTGTTATGGTTATGCAAACAGCATAATTTTTTTTTCTTTTTGTGATTGTTTGAATAGGATATCAAGCCAATGAGAGATCAGATTGTCAGAGTGAAGAGATATGAAAAAGTCCCACTAATCCTAGTAGGAAATAAAGTGGATCTGGAACCAGAAAGAGAGGTTATGTCTTCAGAAGGCAGAGCTCTGGCTCAAGAATGGGGCTGTCCTTTCATGGAGACATCGGCAAAAAGTAAATCAATGGTGGATGACCTTTTTGCTGAGATCGTCAGGCAAATGAACTATTCATCCCTGCCCGAGAAGCAAGATCAGTGTTGTACAACTTGTGTTGTCCAGTAAAAAAGATAACCTCAATCATGGCCATACCGAGCAGGTTAGTCGTTGATGGAATCTTATGAACCAGAGAGTGTTTTGTTTTTGATCATATATAACAAAGCTGGTTAATATTAAAACACATTGTGCTACCTTAAATGTCTTTATTTTTAAAGTAACATTTCCCTTTGCACAAAATAGTCCACATTCAATGCCAAATGCCTGAAAAATACAGATAAGGGAAACAAAGGTAAGAAATTGCTTGCATTTCCATCAGAAGATGTATTTTTTTAAGTGAGTTACTGCTCTCTTTCTGCTTGATTGATAACATTCCTATGGGGTGGGGTGAGTTAAAGGATAGTACACCTTTTCAGTGTTTTGGTGATTTAGCATCCAGAACGCACAAGAGAGCATCCGTTAATAATTTCAAAAGATGATTAGTTTTATTCTCTACACTTTTCTATCCTTGACTAGAGACCTGCTATAATTGAAGTCATCAATTTACTAATCACCCAAATGCTTGATTTAACAGAATGATTATTTAATCAAGTTCATCTTCTGTACCTGGCACTTGAGGGACTTAAGTCACTTCTGATAATAACAAATTATAGTGCCACAGTGTACCTAGACTTCATCATGAATATATGGTTCAAATGAGAATCTGGCAAAATCATCTGTGATGTGTTAGAAGAAACAGTTCTAAGCCCAGGAAATGTTTTTGTTCATTTTAATAAATAAAAAACTTAATAAAATAATAACAAAACCTTGAAACTTTTCATTGAGTTAAATAATGACTTATTAAAATTTTTTCAACTGAATGAGTTTTTGGAAAAGTTGATATATATATAATACTTATTGAGCATTTAAAATTAGATTATTTATTCATATCATGATTTTTAAATCTAGACATGAAAATTGGGCAAATAACTTCACTTAGTAACATTTAGATAATGAGATAAAACAACCAATAGTCTGGATGACTGAGAAATCATAGCAAATGCCAGACTAGCCCGACAACATTAGGAATGGAATTGATTATTTTGAGCCAAGACTGACCTCAAGTCTAGAAGGCAATGCTACAAATGGCAACAGGCATT